TGCTACTCACAACCCATGGTGTTATTAAAAAATAACTGCTAAGGTGATTAGCTATTGAACTGCATAAGAAATGTCATTAGCCTGTTCTACAGAATAATGGTATTTAATGAAAACAAAAGGAATATTGTGCTGACCTCGTCAAGGAAATTCAAGGCCACTGACTTCACTTTGGAAAGAATTTCTCATCTGCTGTGTCACTAGATGTGGTTGTATAACAGTAGTCATATCTACTTGAATGGAATTTACCTTTAAAATGACCAGCACTAAGTGAAAGCTCTGATTTAAAGTCTTGCTCCAGCGAACCTCTCATGAACTGCTAGCTTTTAATTTTCATGAATTGCTATTTCCATATGAAAGATGGTTTCTTGTGAAGTACACGTGCAGCCTTATAAGTGGATGTTTGATAATCCTTTGTGTTTTTGTTATCTTGGCACTGTGAGATAGCTCCTGCAGCGCATGAGTTGATGTGTATTAAAAGGTAACCTAAGTCTCTGCTGGGTAATACTATTAAAATTTCCAAGAGTGTTCTCTTTCCACTTTATGCCGATTCTTTCTTGGCAACATTTCAAACAGTTTCAGGTCCATATCCCTAATAAGGGCTACCTATTTTTCTTGAAAGAGAAAGGTTTGTCCCAGGCTACGTTTTCTGTGTGGAAAACATATGTAGACTATACGTATGAAACATATGTAGAAAATAATATATTACCATTTACCCTAGTAAACTGGTATCAAAGAAAGGAGAGAAGGTTTTTAGCCCAGAGAAGCTGAAGTTGCAGTTGTTTTCATGAGCTAAGGCATGCTGAGCCAGAAGGAACTCAGAGCTGTAAACAAGTTAGATAGGAAGTGAGAAAAGTATCAGTATGTGAAATGACCCCAACACCTTCTGATTTTGCATTACAACGTCTGCACATGGCTCAAGCCTTTTTCCATTGTTTCCTCATACATGTATCTTGCAGTTATTTTCACTTGTCATCTAGTAACAGCCCACTCCCCCCATTTAGCTACATACTTGAAAGTAAGTATACTTCTTGGTGTACACCTCCTTCATTCAAGACTTCTACAGGATAATCAAAGCCTTGCTTCACCCTTACTTTCAATTATCAGAGGTTGAATGTGTCAGCCTTCTTACACTCCCACTAATTTAGATACCATTACCCCTTCATAACACCTGGAACAGCCTGCACGTTTGACTTCTAAAGTAGCGTGAAGTACATGGGAGGAGTTGATCAACTTGGATTGTTATTTAATAGCTGTTTTGCAGAAATGCCTACAGGCATTAATTAAGATCAAGGTGCTAAACACCAAGAAGACTTACAATGAAAAATAGTTCCTGCCCCAGAGAGTTCATAATTCACTTTATAGCAAGTTACAACTGGCAGATGGGATAAATTAACTGTAGACAGGGAAAGAGTAGAACAATCTACTTCTCCAAGCATTTTCTGGACAGTGTGGATCATTTTCATGTATATATTTACAAATACAGGTATGCTCATTTTGCTGAAGATTTTCATTTCTCTCTGACCTTAAAATGATCTCCCTGATGTCATAAAACTCTTCTTCCAAAGAAACGCATGATCTACGAGATTCCTTCTCCACCTAGTGTGTTGGATGTGCTATACTCATCACCAGCTCTGTATCCCTCCCATTTCAAGGGCACCAAAATCTATTGTTATGTATTGACTGCTTTTCAGCAGAGGAAGAGATAAAGCCAATCTTTCCACATTTTAAAATTAAAATGCCTCCAATAAAAGTAGGAGCCGGCCCATATCCCTCCTTGTGGAATTAATTGTAAAACATGTTATTATAAAGCTGTGTTAAAGTGTGAACAGATCTTGGTAACAATCAGACATTAAAGTTCAGAAGACTGTAATATCTAATAGGCTTATTTTTCCATTAAAAATAGGGAATACTTAATTTTGTAGGTGGAGATAAAGGTCAATTTGAGTTATTTCAGCTTGTCAAGTTTTATGAATAAATCTATTATCTCTAGTAATATTCCTTAACAAGGTATTTCTATCTGGCTTCCACCAATTTTAAATTACTGAAAACCTTCCATGATATAATTAAGGCCCACTTTTACTGTCACTATAAATGCTTTTCTATTACCTTGTATGGTGTGCCATTCTTTATGCTATGCAAAAGTAGTGTAAAATACTGCCAAGTCAGAAACGTTACTAGTTGGCCTTAGGGGTAGTAACTTACCCCTACATTTTCACAGATGTAAAATCACTTTCCTATACAAACAGGCCATTTCCTCCAGAGTCATCAGGATGTACATAACTAACAAAGATAAAAGCAGTGAAACATTAATCTCAGATGTAAGCAAATTAGAATTTTGCTATTTTTAGTAGGACTATAATGGGTATCTTAACACCTTAATAACATGAAACCTTGCCTCCAGCACACTGTGGAATTTTTGTTGCTATACACTGTCCTTTTACTACTGAATTAATCTCTTTTATACATCATAATTCTTTGTTGTATTAAATTATAAAGTACAATGCTTTCAAAGGAAAAAAAAAAAGAAATGTGACTGCCAGAATATTCTTAAAAATTCATCCCTTTTCAGCAGTCCCACCAAGAAATTTTTAAGTGCTCTAGAAAAAAAGCAAGATTAATATTGAAAATGTCATTTTTCTTTTACTGGAGCCCAGCTGGTCAAAGACTTGGATGATTGTGGTACAAAATAGAGAACACATACACTTGAACAGGAGACTTCAGTAGCACAATAGCTTTAGTTAGCAGTTAAACGTATGCTTTGATCAGAAAGGTTGGTTTATTTAATTTGTATCTAATGAAGGGTTCTAGATGAAGACTTTTCCAGTATGCTCTGCTCTGAAGTCAGCATTTCTGGTCCCTTTGTGTGCTACTGGTATTTTACACTGAGCTGGTGTACATCCAACACAGGCAAAAGTAATCATCTATGTTGCCACAGCTGCATAAAAACTATAGTGGCAAACACAGTAAGTGAAAACAGCCACGGGAAGGAACAAAATGATAGAGAGACAGCAAGAATATCTGAGAGGAAATACTCCTCCAGGCCTCTTCTAAAACCTGTATGCTCTGGAAACAGTAACATATGAAAATGTCTTTTATTAGACACTAGTAATTAGTTCTGACTTTGAAAGACTTCACTGCTCAAATCAGGCTTAGATATTAAAACACAGAATCACTTAACATATCCTTGTGCTGTGGGAAACCTTCCTTGGAACTAAGCTCAGTGACGTTTACGTTCATTCAGCCCTGAGCACTGCTATCTCTATATGCCAGGTGTCTAACAGGACCATTTCATCCACTCAGTTCTTCTCACCTCCTCCCGGACTGTTTGTCTCCCGTTTCAAGGGGACAAGCGAGAGGCAAGACGAGTACGGTGAGAACACAGAGCCGGGCCGGGGACCACTCTTCCGTACGCAACAAAAGCAAGAACCCCCGCTCAACAGCACTTCCCTCTCACTTCACCCATACCGGTGCCTGCAGACGTCCCAGGCGGTGGGCGCAAGGCAGCCAACGGCCTTTTCCGCAGCCGCTGAGGCTGTGGCCTAGAGCCTGGGATACTTGCTGCGTCACTCCAAGAGATCGGGAGCCGTAAGGCAATTTATCGAGGCTCTGACGGCAGCACCGCCCGCACTGCAGCGCCCCGGCCTCCCTGGGCAGTGCTCCTCACCCCGGCCCGGCCTCCCCACAACCGC